ACAAAATGTAAGCTGTAAAAATGTATCGAGGGCTGTAGACTTTTTGATCATACATAAATTATTTGTGAGTTAACATAACATTATTATTTAATTACTTCCTACTGTGTTGACATTTTCCAATCAATATTTCGTCAGTTTATTAAAGAGATCATCTACAATTATTATTTCATATCTTCTTGTATAAATACAGAAACGGATTGTTTATTTATGAGCATGTTAATGATGATAGGTTGACGCTTAAATGTTAGCCCTCGGTCAAATAAAAAATAACATAAAATGTATGGACACCAATGGTGCCATTATCAAAACGAAACTGAAAAATAGGTCCCAGGGTTATTTTAAGTTGGCGTACGTCCAAACCAATATCAAGTTTTATAGCTTTTCACTTATGAAACCTTTTTATAAAATGAAACTATTGCAAGAAAATCCTTAAACTCGTAATACCTATGTTTAGTGTTTAGAGTTTAACTGGGTCTCCAATTGGCCAGATCTCTGTATCTTCCTTATGGAAGAGAACTCTTTAACTCAAATTAAAAATATGGAAGCCTCTGCTTTCAACGGAAGCAGAGGCTTCCATATTTTTAATATTCAAGAAATAAATAAAGCCGATATTACTCAGGGCTACTCAGTGTTTCAAAAACTATTTCACCTAACCAAATAATTTTTGAAACTGTCTAATAGTATTTGAGTATAAGCCTGCATATCTTGTCCCATTATAATATTAGTCTCGTATAAGATAATGGAGATATTTCTTTAAAGCTATGTATGTGATAGACTTTTGCCCTTTCTACCACGAAGCAATATACATGTAGTTGAATTTCTTGGACAAGGATTTTCTTTGCATAGGTATTATAAAATACTTCTACGAGTTTAAACCTAGTTTATTACATTCTACAACTATTTATTCCTAATTACAAGACCCCGATTCTTTACAAACTGTGGTGGTTGCAACATCAATGGTAGGGGAGCCCACGATGCTAAATGGGGATTTACTCGAGCGTCGTAGAGACCTATTGGGATACAAAGCTTAGATAAAAAGAAGAAAAAAATGTTATATGATAAATTCCTTTTCATCGGTGGGGGAAGCGGCTATAGATAGTTAAATATGTAAAAAAAAACTGTTGCATGGACATCCTCGAGCGCGTCAGATATTGATAGCATCTATGCCCTACGTATTTTTAATAATGTACGTATGTTAATCTGATCGTTTGCATGATGCGGGTGGTTGTATTTAAGGGTTGAAAATTAAAAAAAAAAAATTTATCGAGCGCGTCAGATTTTCTAAGGGAGTGTTAAGTGCACCAAAAAAAGCTCTCATTCACTAATCTGACGATTTCGATGGGACGCAAACCCACAGCCATTTTCTTAATTTGCAAAAAAAATCGCAATTTTGAAATACTCAAGCGCGTCAGATTAAGATATATGTGGTTCATCTTTATGTTCTAAACGTACTGTCTCATAATCTGACGATTATCTAGAGGGATTCGCCTGATCTGACAAAAAAATAATAGAAAAACGGTTCACCTAAAGGGCCATCCCTGCAACTTCCCGCTAATTCCATTCCTGGGCGCTTAAAATTGATATTTTGAGCTCGCTGAGTTCAAAGAAATAACATTTCTATGCATTTGAGCTCTCCCAGCTCGAAAGTCTGATAGAAGTTTCATAGAACACTATTTTTGGAATTTTCAAACCGCAATAACTTTTGAATGGATCAAGCAATTTTCACGCGGTTGGCGGCATTCGACGCAGTTTTATCATTCTCATAAGTAATTTTGCAATTTTAATTGATCGAACCACAAATTTCGAGTAATCCCGAAAAACACTTTTTCGGGTTTCTTTCATGTACGATATCTCTCGAACGAATCAACCGCTTTTGACCAGCTTGGTGGCGATCGACGTGGTTTTTCAAGCTCAAAGGCGGATTAGTTTTTGAAGTTGATCGATAAAGAAACCACTTTAAAAAAAAATATTTCTTATTTTTTTAAAGATTTTTCAAAATTTCTCAAAATCTATCGGTCCGAATCGGTTCAAATTCACAGGAAATGTAATTTTGAGGGAAATATTTTGAACGCCGTTTAGTAGATTCCGATCGGTTTAAGGAAATGTAGGCATCACGCAGCTGCACGCATTTAACTTTATCGACGAATTTTTGTTATTTCGGCTTGCGGAAATCGTCAGATTATATATTTTTCATTATTCTGGAATTATTTCCTTCAAAATAAAAGAAAAATTAGCTACGCTCGAGAATGTCGAGATGACGTTTTTTTTTACAACTTTGTTGCCCTCCCCTTTTTTCCGTCACTCTCAAATTGTCAGATTAGTGGAATATACACTTTTTAGGATGTAATTAACTCACCCTACCTTAATCTGACGCGCTCGGGAATTTCTGATGGTCAATTTTTTTTACTAATCTGATCCTGTCTCCTTCACGCGCGGCCTTATATATGGGCCTCATATTTTGTGGAGGTACTTAACCGGGTACAAGGTATCCCCCTATATAGTAATCTGCCGCGCTTTAGTAAATCCCGAAATCCCCTCTTGGGCTCCCCTACCACAACACGATTTTAATTTTTATTTAATGTCTCCAATCATTCTAAATGACATAGACAACAATTATATCCTCTAGTCTATGAAAAAAGGTGTCTGCGCGTTTGACTGAGCGTTTACTTTTTATGAGTCAGACTTTAAAAAGTCAGATTTTTTGTCGTATAGACTTCATAGTTATTAGTTTTAGTTGCTTAATTAAAAAACACATTATATTTCCAATGGAATTTCTTTGTAGAAACTTAACAAATTAATAATTTTGAATAAAAACGATACAATTGTTTCTCGTGTCAATAATCAAACGAACCTCGAATATCTCGTTGGATCATGAATAGCCATTGATGCTCAACGGAAACCTATCTCCATCACAAAGCGTTTTGGAACTTAAAATACATTGTAATTTAGAAAAAATATCAACATCTGGCCATTGTCTAGCTTTCGCGGGGGAGTCGGTATAAAATAAATAGCAAAATGTCGCCACCGCACGCGTCATTATTCAAGCGCGATTGACAGCCACTTCCATAGGTCGGACCGGGGTTGGCGAGCTCAATAATACGCCTACTTATACTAACTGAAACGAACTATACGAAGTTTTGATACTTGACTTAAACGTACTATGATCAAAATTAATGAATAAGAGAGACATAATATCCATTATTTTTCAGTGTTTAACGTCATCGCTTACTGTATAAGAACCATTTTGAAATTAAAATAATATGACAATCGGACTTTCTTTTGATTGATAAATACAAGTAAAATGAAAACAAACATATTGATAATGTTGCTTCTTTTATTAACTTATGTCCTTCAAATAAGTTCAACCCCTTTTTACACAATAAAATGATACATTTATACCACATATTATAAGTAAATATATGTACGTATATAACATATTACATTTTCCTTGAATTAACAAAGTACTTTAATCGTGTCGTCTATGTTAAATCTTCTCACGCACATCTTTCATAGACAATAGAAATGCAAAATAACTGCAATATCAATAAAAAAAATACCTAATCTATCACAAAGTACATTTCTGTGCGTACGTGACTCCATTGTTCTAATGAACTAATTTACGACTAATTAAAAATAGATAGTATTGCATTGTTTAAGTAAATGCTGGTCCAGACATCACAAAACGCACGATAGTTATCCAAACATTTGCTAGTTGGCGCCTATAACGATATGCTTCGAATGAAAAACAAATATAAAATAATAATAATCAAATCATTAAGCAGTTTACCTTTTCGATAAAGATACAAGAATAGTAAAATTATACGTAGATATCATTTTGTTTTTAGGAAGCGCAATGTAGTTTTGTTAAAGGTATCTCGAATTAACATCTATAACATATGTTAATGAGTTCTGGATATAGATATAGACTTTTACATTATTGCATTATTACGAATGCGGCGTTAACAGCCCTGCGAGCCCTCTGAAAATATTAGTGTCTATGGACAGCGGTATCACATAACATCAGGTCAGCTTCCTGCCTGTTCGACCCATGTTATATTAAAAAACCTTATAAATGAAAGAATACGATAATAATATTCTTAATCAACACATTTTTTTTAAATATTTTTAACCATCTTCAGTCAGCCTCTTGGCCTTTATCAGATTTTATGATATGATTTTGAGGCAATTAGGGAATTAAAATCCAATTTTTTTTTCCTCCGTAACTCGCCAACTATCAAACTGCAGCCGAAACAGTCCGCCGTTTCCAAGAGCTAGGGGGTTAACGTGTTGCTGAAGTCTCCTTTTGTATTGTTCGGTTGATCTTTTAATCTCGTCCTCGACAGTGGTAATTCCCAAATATTTATGGACTTCGCAGTATTTAAGTTCACAAATTTAAATTAATTTCTTATGCACCTATACCTATACCTATAATATTTCGACTGCTTTACAAATACCGTCGGTTAGCAATATACCAAATTACGACCGCTTTATAATCTTGTTTATAAGCGTTTTAAAATCTTTATTTGATTTGTAGTACTTACATAAAATAGGACAATATTAGATCGATATTAGTAATTATAAGTAAATTAACCAGATGATGCCTTCAAATTTAATGAAATTTAATGACGTGGAATAAGTGATACATGTATCTTATGTTCCATAATAAACATATTTTATTTTTATTTAGATGAGAAATTAATAGATTATTCAATAAAATCCGCACAGTATCAAAATGTGTTGATCCATAACTCAAAATTTCTTAGACGCGTGTCCTATCGTTTTTGAACAACGGTGGCGAATCGAAGTTCATGAATATATTCGATATTTCTTTTGAATAAATGTGTCGAATAAAAAAGCGATTTATCAAAAACTTCTGTTCATTCAGTCGCGTCTTTTATATCGTTTAAATAAACATCGTTTTTGGAATGACATACAAAATGGTGCGTACCGAATTTAAAAGTTCTTTATTGAAACCATTTTAAGCGTGACAAAGAGTACTAATGAGTGGAGGACACCCACGCTACGATGATACTGCGATTTTATTATCAAATTTGAACAATGTTTGCCAAAGATTGGGCATTTTGGAAAGGTAACCCACCTAACTTATACAAAGACAAAATGTCATACAATTGCTTTTTCAAGTTAGCATTTATGATCTAGCACGCTCAATTCATAAAGAGATTAAAATATGTTGTGTTATCGACTATTTGATTAGCCCCGTAACCCCATAATGGGTTAGATATTAATAAACCAGTGCCCATAACCTTTTAAAGTCTGGCTGGGCCTCAGATTTATGTATCAATTGTATGATCTGTTTTTTTCTAATAGGCAAATAGGTGATCATCCTTCTGTGCCTGTCACACGCTGTCGACTGCTTAGGTCTAAAGCAAGCAGAGAAAGTCCTTTGGTGCAAAACCGGGGTTCGAACCTACGATAGAAATTGCACGCCGCAGACAACACTGCTCAGCTCACTATTAACAACAATCATTCTATTAATATCGACCAGCTTTACTAATGGTGAATCATCCAAACACAAAATTTTTCAGTCATTACTTTTCTATATATGGCAGCAAACAAAATATATATTATGGCTATCTAATTTCTGACATTTTTATGCATTTTTTTAATTTAGCCAGGTGCTTGCTGTATCCCAATGGATGGAAGATGTACATGCAGGCTCAGGTGAAAAGAAAGAACGCAGCGAGTTCCGTTCCGTAAAGGGTCGTGTGAACCGTCGCAGCATCAACGAAGTAAGGGTAAAGGTGTCGTGATGTCCGGAGGACGGAGGTTGGTTAATTATTGATAATTTAAATCTAAGACTCCAGTGTTGGCCTAGTGGCTTCAGCGTGCGACTCTCATCCTTGAGGTCGTAGATTCGATCCCTGACTGTGCACAAAAGGACTTTCTCCGCTTGCTTTAGACCTAAAAAGTCGACGGCATGTGACCTATTTGCCTATTAGAAAAAACAGATCAGGAAACTGACACATAAATATGAGGCCCAGCCAGAGCTTAAAAGGTTATAGCCTCTGGTTTATTAATATATAAACCATTAAGGGGTTACGGGACTTAACAAATAGTCTAACACAATATATTTTAATCTCTTACAAATTGAGGTTATATGTTATTGAGGGTGAGCATAAATGCTCACTCGAAAAAGCAATTGTATGAAGGAAAACATCGTAAGAAAATCGGTTTGCTTTAGACTGAAAAATAAGATGGCGTGTGTCCAGCACAGGAGGTTGATCACCTACTTGCCGTTATTGACAAATGATTATAAAACAGATACAGAAATCTAATGCCCAGACCTTAAAATATTGAAGCGCCACTGGTTTTGTAAATATAACACACGTAAATATTAATAATAATTATAGTATCTAATGCTAAACAATCTTAAGTATCTTATAATCGTAGACGGACTATGGTTCTATACTCTGTCTACGCTTATAATTAATTTATGCGAACTTAGCACCTTTTTTGGAGTTAGTAACACTCCGTCCGTGACGTTTGACAGCTTTCAACACTATGTCTGCAGACTGACAACTGAAAGAACATTTAATATAGTTGATATTTAACAAAGTTGACATCTGTCAGATAGTTGAATTATTTGCTTGGTGCAGTGACTTTCAAAATTTTAAATTAATAATTGAAAAGAATAACAACAGGCATGTAAGTTACTTATTTTTGGTTTGATCCAACATAAATGAACAATCTTTACTTTGGTATACGTTTAATGCATTAGACAACGTATTTTAATAAATTTAGTTTATAAATTCATTCCTATAAGGTTATTAGTATATTTTTTAGTAAAACAATGGCCGCATCAGTAGTAGACACTTACACTGACCCCAGCATGAGCTGGATGAATGCTCCTCACAGTACGGGAACCTCAATCATGGCCTGTGAGTTTGATGGCGGAGTTGTGATTGGTGCGGACTCTCGTACAACAACCGGCGCCTACATCGCTAACAGAGTAACGGACAAGCTGACAAAGATCACTGACTACATCTATTGTTGTCGTTCTGGATCAGCTGCAGACACCCAAGCTATTGCTGATATTGTAACTTATCATCTCAGTAAGTACCATTCTCTTATAATTTCCTTCAGACGTCTTAGAGACTTAAGAGCAATCTGTGACGTTTCTATATCAAAATCCAACCCCACTATATGTTGACTATGCCTTTTATATATGTAGATCTACATCTCAAACAACAATGTATGTATAAATCTGTAGGTATTATCTGATGACTGTTGTGCTTTATGTTTACCAAGCTTTTAACAATTTTGTTTAATAATCACAACCCAATTTTCTTACAGATTTCCATAGGATGGAATTGGGTGAGCCTCCACTAGTGGAAACTGCAGCAGCTATATTTCGTGAACTCTGCTATAACTACCGAGACTCACTTGTAGCTGGAATCCTTGTTGCTGGTTGGGATAAGAATAAAGGAGGTCAGTACAATCCTTTCTGCAGCTAGCACATATTAGTGACATGTATTTGAAATATTCAAAATGCATGTCACAATAATCACTTTGTGAACATTATTGTTTGCACTCTGGGAACTAAATTTAGGTCTGCATCCATTCATACATGTTCATAAATGAGGTACTACATATATATAGAACAAGTCGAAAAGCTGCAGAAAAAATTGTTTATTTCCCTTCAAGCCCCAAAATTTCCATTACTCAAAATCGCAACCCTCCAATAGTCCAAATAATCACTGATTATTCCAGTCCATTTTGGTTCATATTTTCCCTCTAGAACTCAAAAAATTAATTAGACTTCTGTATCTTGAATATAGCAATATTTTATTACTTAACTTAACTCTTTAATTTAAAACTAGTCCTAAGTCAAAATCCTCTATAAGTTGAAAGCTCTATAACTCCAATTTTTGAGTTATAGAGGTTCTCCTGTATATGATCAAGTGGGTGTATAACTGTTTGAATGTTTATTAAGCTTTAATATAACTAGAAATAAAGTTATAAATGTTTTTAGTGGTCTATTATATTTTTAGGACAAATTTACTCTGTACCCATTGGAGGTATGGTTCAGAGACAAGCAGTGTCTATTGGTGGTTCAGGATCATCTTATGTTTATGGTTATGTTGATGCTAACTTTAAGCCTAAAATGAGCAAAGAAGAAGCTGTCAAGTTTGTTACTAACACTCTGACCCTGGCTATGTTGAGAGATGGTTCCTCGGGAGGTGTTGTAAGGCTTGGAGTGATATCAGAGGCTGGTGTTGAGCGATCAGTTATCCTTGGTGATCAACTACCTAAATACTATGAAGGTTAATTTTTGTATGAATAAATTTTTAAGCATATTTATGTTTTTTAATATATTTAATTCTTAAGCCCCAATATTTTTAAGCCATTTTAAATTTCTTTTAAATTACTATTTAAAACTTGCTGAATCTTAATCTATGAAAATGTCTGTAAAAGAAAACTTCAAATAAAATCACATTGCTTTTCATTATATTTTTTTAAAGCTTTGCTTTATTTATCCTATTGTTATACACAAATCTCAAACTTAATCTACAAGTTTTTAAACATCTACGAATTAATAAAATTGTTTCAAGTTATAACACCCAACTCTTCCATACTTTCAAGATCCCGCATCAACATTTGAATGGTTTGTTTTGTTCGTGGGAAAAAGTCTGCAGTTTCATCATCTTCAAAGGAAGGATCTTGGGATTCCAATTCTGAAAAACAACATTTTATGATCTACAAACGATTTTTTAATATTTATTAAAATTGGATAAACTAATTTTTTTGTAATTAGAGTTCCCAAAAAAATATTTATTGTATGGTTTGAAGTAGTTCTTTTAGTATGTATTGAGGAATGTTATCTAAAACATATTGAACATTAAACAAGGAAGTAGGGGGGGTTGCGCAGCGCGGGACAAAAACGTCAACTGATTTACAAATCACGCGATCGACACGTCGCTTCTGCGCAGGAAAGGACATTTGTTCAAGATGTTTGCCGGTATCTGTATAACTACTTACCAGCAACCTGCGCTTCAATAGAGTCAAGTCTTGCATCAATAAGCGCCTGACATCTTTGTACATGTCTTAGTAATCGTTCTCGACAAACATTATTATCAATTGGTGCTTCAGGTTGTGGGGCTGACACATGGGATTCTTGCTCTACAAATAATTTATCACTATGAAACTAGATATGGCATAGTCTATGGTAGTGTCTGTGCAGAAAGTATATATATATGTATATCTTAATACGCGTCATTTCGAAATCTCTTTCTGGTTCTCTTTCCGCACGGACGCTATAAAAGATTAGAAAAAAAAGTGTGTGTGTGTCAGCTACGACGCACGATTGGAGTTTACTCCTTACGAACGATAAAATGGCGATAATGTTCTGTGGCTGTCGACCATATTTTCATACTAAAGGTGATAAGAATATATGTTTTTATAATATAAATGTTTGTAGTAGTAATAAAACGTACCTACATCATCTATGCCCAAATAGGATTTTCTTTCTGTGACCAAAGTTACCTTTATAGTAAGAGAAGAATAAGAATGAACAATCTTTTTAGTTTTAATTTCACTGACTGATTACTATTGACAAAACTCTATGGCACGCTAGATAATCTACTTTTATTTTTTTACACCTGTCAACACTAACAATGTTGTAACGTGGCTGTCAAAACGTGAATTCAAAATAGAAAAGTCTGTGTAATGTATTCCATCTCATTCTTTTACACGTTCAATCCTACAGATATATATGTTTGTCTCTTTCTACATAATGCCTCAACTTTTCGTGTTACACATAACGCCTCAACTTTTCGTGTTACACTTGATTTTACTCCTCATCAAATTTCCGTACCGGGCCTTATAACTCAAATCGTTTCTTAAGGAGTAAACTCCAAAAAATACGGCTTTTACACAATAATCAAAACAAGCAATAAACTGATTAATAATAATTAGACATATAAAACTAATTAGCAGTATCATTATAATTTCATGTTTTGAGATTAAATTATTAATATTTGTATATAGTGTGCATTATATACTAAAGAGACTGAGCATTTGCTGGGGTTAAAGAGAGTTGTCATGTTATGGTATTCAAGTAATTTAGGAGTTTTACAGTTTGACAATAAATGGAGTGATGTAACATTGAGTTTGGACCAAATTTTTTGTACAACTCGAGAAATTTCTCCCCAGATTATAGTTTTGATAGCTTTTAATTTTTTTGATCAATGTATGGAAAATTTGTTAGTTTTATTTTTAGTTTTTTTGTAATTACCTGTAGGAATACAATAGTAATAAATTTGAATATTATATGTCGAAAATACATTTTAAATTTTTTTTATAAAAATCCTACAATTGAAAGCATATTACTAATAAGAATATTTTGGGTATATTAGTTACCCAATAAATAACAATTTATATTAATAATTATTTTATGAGTAATGAAACATTATCTAATTTAAGATTACCTTGTAAAGACCTGGCCATTCTCTCTAACTCCGTAGTACTAATAGGAAAGTCTAAAGGCATTCCAGGAATTGATCCAGGGAGATTGAGAAGTGCCTCCCTTTCATCATCTTGACTTTTAACTGGCAAATTCTCTTTCCCAATATTATTTATGATAATGTTGAGATCAGAATAATCGGAATTCAGTCTCTCTTGAGTGAAATTCAATTCAGCGTTTTCCCAGTCTTTGGCCCAAAGGTATAGTTTTGGATGGTTCTTTTTGCTAAAAAATTATATTTATTTACAAAACCTACTAATTTATTTACAAAAGTTTATTGACAAAAAA